CTTGACACTATTGAAATTTGTCATTTCTGTTTCAAAATTGTGCAAAAATCAATAACATTATGACCTTCTCTAAGGTGCAGCTTAAATGTAGCCAGGCCTTACTCGTTTCAAAATTTATCAGCAACATATCCAAAAATCATGAAAGTTTTCATAAACCTCGTCTAAAATAATCAGAAATCTAACCACTTTTTGTCTTCAAAGGCCACTGTGGCTTTTTATTTTGTTGTTTTCAAGGAGTTTGCTGGTGATTTTCTAGTAGTCAAGAACATCAAAACTTGATGCCTTAGTGATTAATTCTTGAGATTTACTATAGGAAGCAGAAGTACCGAATGTGACTTGATCATCATTTTATGTTCCCGGTGGGAGTTCAAATGAAGGAACAACGTCGCCGGCTGGTTTTAGATTTTTGGGAGAGGAGGAACCATCTGTGAAGAAACTTGGACTCCTGGCTAAGAGTACTTGAACTAGTGTTGTCAGTTGCACCATTTTTAGGCAAACTGACTCCGAGCATATCAGCAACAGTTGGATCGCTTTCATCTTCACTTGCATAATTTTTTTGACTGTCATCGATTAACCGCTCTCAGGATTTTTGGGATAGGCGTGGTCTATTACAACAACATTGCAGGCTAATTGCTTGAGACGCAATCTCCTTCTTTCTTCAAGCGCCTGCAATTTTTTTTTTTTTTTTTTTGGTAATGAAACTGAGTCAACAGAAAATAAGAATTGTTTATTGTTTATATTGCTTTAGTATTTAATATTTTAGTATGAAGAGATTATCTGAATGTAATCTCTGAATGTTGGTTGTTCAATCTCCACATTTTTTAATATTATATGTGGTCAAACAATTATATCACATATGAATAAGTTATTAGGAATTTGTTTATTGATACTTAATTTGTTGGAGTTGTCGACTACTTCAGCATAATGGGTAACGGAGACGCACTCGGGGTCCCCTGTCCGACACGGGCGGGGTCGCGGGGGCAGCGCCCCCGAGCCCGTAGGCGGTTTTGGGCTTTTCCATGTATAACCGCTGTAGGATTCCTTTTAAGTTATTAATTCCTTTTGGGTTGGGCTTAGGAATAGGAATTCTGTAACTAGGTTTAATCTCTTAACCTAGTATATAAAACTACTTTTCTCTTGTTATGTGTGGGAGAACAATTCATTCATTGTAAACGAGAGAATGAGGCTATTGCAATAATATTGACTCAGCTGGACGTAGCCTACATTGGGTGAACCAGGTAAATCGTGCGTATTACATTCTTTGTTTACTGTTTGTTTGTTTATTATTATATTTTTGTTCCTGTTGCTTCTCTATTCGTTCATAATTTTGGGTGAAGAAATTTTTGAAGTTTTTAATGATGGTGGAAATTGGTTTTGTTATATATTTTCATGGTAAATTAACTTTAATAAAGGGGTGTAAACGTTAATTTAATTTATCGTTTATCTTGCCAGGGAACATAGATATTTAATCTTCTTATACAGTTTTTAGAAAATTATCTCAGGTCCGTAAAAAATAGGGTTAGCTATTGGTAAGATTTTTAATCGAGTAAACAACTTTTGCCCACCCAATTTTGCCTTAATGACACTTTCCACCCAAAAAGTTTCCAAATTCCGCTTTCCCCATCCAATGTTTATATCCGCTGCATTAATACCCAAAATCACTTCACTTCTCAGCTGACGTTTGGCAAGTTACCAGGACCATAATAAGAGGATTTTGTAGATTGAAGGCTGGTGGATTAAATGGCCGTGACCAATTGAATATTCGCCGCCAAAAATCAGTTAAGAACAAGAAAACCTAACTTTACGGTGGCCGACAATCACTTAGAAATTAGTGCGGAGTGAGAGGTGTTTTGTAGCGAGAAAACCAGAGGTTCAAATGAGGGTGAAAGAGAGAATTTTTGTTGTCGATATCAGCTTTGGATAGTAACGAAATATTAACTTTAGTGGAAAGTAGTATTTGAACTTTTTGAGTGGAACGTATCATTAAGGAAAACATCGGGTGGAAAAATTATTAGTCATAAAAAATCTTACCAATAGCTTTGGATAGTAACGAATATATTTTGGATGAAAAAATATCATTAAGGCAAACCTTGGGTGGGAAAAATTCGTTTACTCCCAAAAAAAGTTTAGATCAAGAAAATCATATACATAAAAGCAGGTATGCTTCGAAGATATATACCTATCTAGAATGACCCAGGTGGCTTCAAGCTCTCGGCATGAGATGCAACGGAGCCCAGCGGTGCATCACTCACAACTTTTACTTCTGTATGCACCTGTTTTCAAGCCAGAACTGTTAGCTTCAGAATCTAAAAATATAAAAAGAATAAATAATGAATTCAAGCTTTTTTTAAGCAAACTAAACCATATATTTTCACCTTCTTGACATTGTAGGGTGCGTAGTTGCTGCAACATATGTTCACAAACATTGCTTATTCTCTGCAAGACGTCCTGTTGAATGCTCTGGTAAGCCTGATGAATTCTCAGACCTCAGCTTGGTGTTTGGGTAAAAGTGTTTAAAGAAAAAGTTTAAATTTGTTGCTTGAATTGAAGTGTGTTGGGTTTGTGTGCAATTTAATGGAGTCTTGGAGCCATGTTTCTGGGGGGAAAGGATCTATTGCAAATGATACAATTTCACCTTCGGATTCTTCTGCAAGAAGTAAAAACATATTGATGGGCTGGGAATTGAAAAGTTTTGGTAATAACATATTAGTCTCAGGTCAACAACAAGCTATTGAGAACCAAGGTTTTAGTGAATTTGGTATTCAAGAATTGGTAGTATAGGGTGAAATTAAAAACTAAAATCTAGAGAGAGAAAATACGGATCCACCCGCAGGTTCACCCGTACCCATATAGGGTAGGGCACGGGTCCAACATTTTGGACCCGTATATCTCGACCCGTATAAGAACCCATACCCGTTTGACCCGGACCGTACCCGGCCCACCCACCCATTTTGCCAGGTCTAATTTTTAGGGATAATTTTGTTATTGCACAAAGTTGGTGAACGGTTATATTTAACAGCAAAATCTGACCACAGGAGAGGTTGTTGGAATATTCGCATAAGCAAGGGACCACTTGTCAATTTCAGAAACCACAGGGGAGGAAATTGGTTTAAGCCCTTATTTTCTTAGAAAAGTATGAAATTTGAACTAGGGTACTATACCCACTTCAATTTTTTTTTTTTTAATAGCCATAATCTTTTTAAATTCATCTTTAAATGATTACATCTTTGCCTTTACTCTCAACTCAAGGCTATGCTTAATTCCATTTTAAAACTATCTAAGCAAGTTTAATATTCTCTTCAAACTTTAAGATGGAATCCAAAGCAACTTTAAGATTATGATTTATCAAACATATTTCAGATCATATTTTAAGTTAATTATTTTAAAACTTAAAGCTTCAATAATCACATATCAACCCTTGATTTTTTTTTTTTTTCCAAATTCAACAAATTATGATTGAATTGGGACATGGGTTTCCTAATATGTTTCTTATAGAATTGTAATCTCTTTAGGAAAAGAGAAATACAATTACGAATAGGAATATAAATTGTATTAGGACTTAACATAAAAGTAATAAAAGATTTGAGTCCTATTAAAAATAGTACTCATGTATAACCTCTAAAAACGGGTTAAATCATAGAGATAGGTACAATAGAGTACAATAGAAAACAAGACCAAAATAAGAGAGTCCATTAAAGAGGGGTTTTGTGAGACATTTAATTCGTGAGACTTGTGAGAGACTCTTGTAATTTTTTTTTCTCTTTATAATGAAATTTTGTAGCGGCAAAGTGGATGTACAGAGAATGAACCATTATAAATCTTATGTTTGTATGTTAACTTTTCTGATAACGAAAAATATAAAAGTGTACTGTAGCAGCTCCTTTTAAACAAATATATTTTTTTTCCTTAAAGAGTCAGACAAATGTATAAAAGCATAAAGCAATTGAAGTACAAAATAGATGAAATTATTCCATGCTTTGCCTTGGCTCTTGAGGCTTCTGTGGTTACATTCATGCAAGGTTATTCTTTTCTTTTATAAATGTTCTAAGTTAGAATCTAATATATATTCTTGTTTCTGAAACAATTACTTTGACATGATAAATTTACTTATTTCCCAAAGCGAAAGCATGAAGTAAGGAATTTGAAAAATTAACCATGACGTGAGTAAAGAATTTGTTGGGATATGTGGTTCGTTTCCAAATAATTCTTATATAAAATTGTATATCTTCAAGAAAACTATTTAATAATGAAATACAATTATAAATAGGAATAGAATTATAAGAATCTTATTAAGAACTGAAACATGAATTCTATTAAAAATAGAATGTCTCATATATAACCCATAAATATAGAGGTGAGAAAAATTTCGAGGTTATGAAAGAATGTGAGGACAAAATGCATTTGATGTAAAAGTTATTAAACACCATAGTTAGAGTGTCTTAGAAATTGAGATTGTTTCCGCTCTAAGTACTAGATTGAGCATGATTAGAAACTATGATTGTTTTCGCTCTGTTAATTATGTATTGGGTTTATAATATTGTGTACTCTTGTATACCGTGTTCATAAAACTACAGTGAAATTCTCTCATTCTTGTACAATATGAAAAGGAAAAGAATAATTAAACAAACAAAAAAATAACAAAAGATAAAGTCTGTAAAAGAAGCAAAGAAAAGAGAATGATTTGAGCAAGAAAGATATATGTAGATATCATTTGAAGTGATTCCATCCTGAAATTAATTGCCTTTGCTCTTTTAACTCTTCTTGGTTCCATTCTTAATTGCAAGGCTATTCTATTCTTTTGTATGATATTGTCTTCAGATACAAACTTGGAAAATATAACATCATCCTGAATATAATCCAAACTTTAGTCGATTAATAATTCAAACCGCATGCCATGCATGTACATGTAATATACAATTTTCTAAACAAAAGCTATATACAAAATGCTTCAACCCATCAAAGATACATGTCAAAACATGAAGAGGATCAAATATAGACAATTCTTTTACTCTGCTCTTATTGCATCTTCAGTAAGTTTTTCACTTTTCATTCAAATTTTGAATAAACTTGGCCAATGACACATGTAAATATTCTTGATATTCTTCACTGACAAGCTCATCAGACTTGTTCAAATCCCTTCCATTGCTTACCACTTTATGTTGTTTTAACGTTGTCAATGGCATCAATCTGGGAGGACTCAGATTCATTTTGTTCTTCGCTTGCAGGAGTAAATTTTGGGGATTTCTAGAGTTTGGTGTCTGGCAAATCGGAGTCTCTTCACCGTAGATGTTGTTTATGTATTTTTTTGGGTAATTAGGAGTGCAATGTCTAGATAAATTGTAAGCCATATGATCAGCAGCTATATCTCCTTCTAATATTTTAAGTACCTGAACAATATTTAACAAAACTAACTGAGAATTAAATTCTAATTTTCTGACTAATAGTAATATTATTAAAATTAGAAAATAACCTTAGACATGGTAGGTCTTTGTTCTGGAATAGGAGAAATGCATAAGCTAGTTGCATACATCATGCATTCAACTTCCTTCTCCACATAAAATTGATCCAATCTGGGGTCTATTATTTCATTCACCATTTTCTTTTCTAGTAATGGTTTCCCCTGCATCATCCATATTCAAATAAATTAGCTCGACAATGACAACATGATCGATGACCATAAATTATGTACAATATTAATCGTACATTCGTATTATTTCAGATATGTAAACAAGAGTAAAGAAACTGACCCAATCCATTACAAATTGTTTTCCTGTGTTTCTCGAAAAATCGGTTGCTTTGAAGCCACTTAATAGCTCCAACAAAACAACTCCGAATGCATATACATCAGCTTTCTCTGTTATGAGTCCAGTCTGAGTGTATTCTGGCGCTAAATACCTAAATTAAAAAAGGTAATGAAAATTCAATAGTAAAACATTAAGTAAATAATTGTTGAAAATTCTCAACCAAATATGTTTTCTTAAGGTCTAATTCATTACTTACATTAAAAAACTAAAGAATTGAATCAATATCACAAATTAAATAGGCCTTAAAGCTATATCAGCAAGACTGAGAAAATTTTAGTACCCAAAAGCACCTACGACACGAGTCTCCTCTGCTAACTGTCCATCGGCCTGCCACCTTGCCAAACCGAAATCTCCCACCTGTTTGTGATAGTGATGACACATAACAATCAATGTTGGTATATATATTCAGGGTATTTCTTGGAAAAATTAAATGAATCAAAATTTAATATGAATTGCAGAAGAAATGGAACTGACCATTGGTCTGAAGTCATGGGTGAGGAGGATGTTATTAGGTCTAAAATCTCTATGTACGATACAACCCACTCTGCAATCTTCATGAAGATATCTCAAACCTCTAGCTGCTCCCTTTGCAACCTTCATCCTGTTAGTCCAGGACATCACCTCATTACTCTCTCTCCCTGCAAATTTTAGTCAGTGAAAGTGCTTTTCTCAAAAAATAATAATAATAATAATAATTATGCTATTCATCTCAAGTGATGTAGTATTGATTATGATTTGCATGTGGATTTTATTATTATATGTTAATCCTGGGTCCAACTGGCTTCACCCCAATGTCCTTCACTCAAAACACGTTTTCTTAGTTAGGTAGATCCGAACCTAATAAACTGAATCTTAAACTCATTCGCTAGATGATGTGGGATGTGACACGCAACTTGGGATTATAGCATAACTCTTTCCAATTGATTTTAGTTACTAAACAAAGTAGAACTTACCATACAAATGCTTGTCTAAGGAACCATTGCAAGCAAACTCATATATCAGAAGCCATTCTGTCTCAAAGCAATAGCCAACCAACATCACCAAATTTCGGTGCTGTGCACAGCTCAATACCTCAACCTCAGACACAAATTCTGAGGCTCCTTGTGCACTCAACGTCTTATGTTGCTTCACTGCAACAACCTGCCCATCAGGTAAGACTCCCCGATATATCTTACCATATCCACCCTCAGCCAAGAAGTTCTCGTTCACGAAACCACCAGTTGCTCTTGCAATCTCTTTGTAGCTGAATTTCCTCGGTGTTTTGCCGAAAATAGGAGCATTGTGCTTGCAAATTGAGCAAAGGGGTGGTGGCATAGGTGGATTTTTGATGGAAATAGACATTGCTTTTCTAATGCTTGAGGTTCTTTCTATAGTTGAAGAAGTTGGTGATGATTCAAGTGTTTCACTTTTGTAACTAGACAAGGACTTTCTTCTTGTTATAAGCTGATCATATGACTGCTTTTGCAGGCCTTCAGGTTTTCGCTGCAGGCACGGTGAATCTATCGATCTTCGTGCTTGATTATTAGGTGGTGTCTTCATTGCCTTGACACTATTGAAATTTGTCATTTCTGTTTCAAAATTGTGCAAAAATCAATAACATTTATAGACCTTCTCTAAGGTGCAGCTTAAATGTAGCCAGGCCTTACTCGTTTCAAAATTTATCAGCAAATTATCCAAAAATCATGAAAAGTTTTCATAAACCTCGTCTAAAATAATCAGAAATCTTACCACTTTTTGTCTTCAAAAGGCCACTGTGGCTTTTTATTTTTGTTTTCAAGGAGTTTGCTGGTGATTTTCTAGGTGAGTCAAGAACATCAAAACTTGATGCCTTAGTGATTAATTCTTGAGATTTACTATAGGAAGCAGAAGTACCGAATGTGACTTGATCATCAGCTTTATGTTCCCGGTGGGAGTTCAAATGAAGGAACGAACGTCGCCGGCTGGTTTTAGATTTATTGGGAGAGGAGGAACCATCTGTGAAGAAACTTGGACTTCCTGAGCTAAGAGTACTTGAACTAGTGTTGTCAGTTGCACCATTTTTAGGCAAACTGACTCCGAGCATATCAGCAACAGTTGGATCGCTTTCATCTTCACTTGCATAAATTTTTTTGACTGTCATCGGATTAACCGCTCTCAGGATTTTTGGGATGGCGTGGTCTATTACAACAACATTGCAGGCTAATTGCTTGAGACAGCAATCTCCTTCTTTCTTCAAGCGCCTGCAATTTTTTTTTTTTTTTTTTTTGGTAAAAATGAAACTGAGTCAACAGAAAATAAGAAATGTGTTTATTGTTTATATTGCTTTAGTATTTAATATTTTAGTATGAAGAGATTATCTGAATGTAATCTCTGAATGTTGAGTTGTTCAATCTCCCAAAATTTTTTAATATTTATATGTGGTCAAACAATTATATCACATATGAAATAAGTTATTAGGAATTTGTTTATTGATACTTAATTTGTTGGAGTTGTCGACTAATTCAGCATTAAGGGTAACGGAGACGCACTCGGGGGTCCGCTGTCCGGACAGGGGCGGGGTGCGGGGGCAGCGCCCCCGAGCCCGTAGGCGGTTTTGGGCTTTCATGTTAACCGCTGTAGGATTCCTTTTAAGTTATTAATTCTTTTGGGTTGGGCTTAGGAATAGGAATTCTTGTAAAACTAGGTTTAATCTCTTAAACCTAGATATAAACATACTTTTCTCTTGTTATGTGTGGGAGAACAATTCATTCATTGTAAACGAGAGAAGTGAGGCATATTGCAATAATATTGACTCAGCGGACGTAGCCTACATTGGGTGAACCAGGGTAAATCGTGCGTTTACATTCTTTGTTTACTGTTGTTTTTGTTAATTATTATTTTGTCCTGTTGCTTCTCTTTCGTTCATAATTTTGGGTGAAGAAATTTGTGAAGTTTTTAATGATGGGTGAGAAATTGGTTTTGTTTATAATATGTTTTCATGGTAAATTAACTTTAATAAAGGGGGTGTAAACGTTAATTTAATTTAATCGTTTATCTTGCCAGGGAACATAGATATTTAATCTTCTTATACAGTTTTTAGAAAATTAATCTCATGGTCCGTAAAAAATAGGGTTAGCTATTGTGTAAGATTTTAATCGAGTAAACAACTTTGCCCACCCAAGGTTTGCCTTAATGACACTTTCCCACCCAAAAAGTTTCCAAATCCGCTTTCCCATCCAATGTTTATATTCCGCTGCATTAATACCCAAAATACACTTCACTTTCTCAGCTGACGTTTGGCAAGTTACCAGGAGCCATAATAAGAGGATTTTGTAGATTGAGGCTGGTGGATTAAATGGCCGTGACCAATTGAATATTCGCCGCCAAAAATCAGTTAAGAACAAGAAAACCTAACTTTACGGTGGCCGACAATCATTAGAAATTAAGTGCGGGAGTGAGAGGTGTTTTGTAGCGAGAAAACCAGAGGTTCAAATGATGGTGATAGAGAGAATTTTTGTTGTCGATATCAGCTTGGATAGTAACGAAATATTAACTTTAAGTGGAAAAGTAGTATTTGAAACTTTTGAGTGAGGAACGTAATTAAGGAAACATCGGGTGGGAAAAAATTATTTAGTCAATAAAAAATCTTACCAATAGCTTTGGATAGTAACGAAATATTAATTTGGATGAGAAAATATCATTAAGGCAAACCTGGGGTGGAAAAATTCGTTTACTCCCAAAAAAAGTTTAGATCAAGAGAAATCATATACATAAAAGCAGGTAATGCTTCGAAGATATTACCTATCTAGAATGCCCAGGTGGCTTCAAGCTCTCGGGCATGAGATGCAACGGAGCCCAGCTGTGCATCCACTCACAACTTTTACTTCTGTAGCACCTGTTTTCAAGCCAGAACTGTTAGCTTCAGAATCTAAAAAATATAAAAAAAGAATAAATAAGAAATCAAGCTATTTTTAAAGCAAACTGAAACATATATTTTCACCTTTGACATTGTAGGCTGTGCGTAGTTGCTGCAACATATGTTCACAAACATTGCTTATTCTCTGCAAGACGTCCTGTTGAAGTGCTCTGGTAAGCCTGATGAATTCTCAGACTCAGCTTTATCTGCACAAACCCCATTTTTGTAACAGGCCTGCAATGCAATTTAATTATTAGAACCTGCAGTCACGCCTTGAATATTTTATCTAAAAATGTAAATGAATGGGGAACTGATTACAGGAATTGATTTTTTTTTATTTTCAAGATTCTTAAATTCTTTTTTTTTTTTCCTGAAAACAATATGATAATAGTAATATTACATACAAAAAAATATAGAAGCTGACATGGTACTATTTTTTATTGATACACCATTTATCTGCATTTAATAAATTAATTTTTAATATGTATCTCATTCACTTTACATAATTATAGATATAAAATTTTTTGGATGATAATAAAAGAGTTACTCTTAGACATTTGTTACTAATAATTTTTTATTCGTATTTTTATTTACTAGTTAAAGATTAATGAAAATCCCAAAAAAAAAAAAAAAAAAAAAAAAAATCTTTCAACACTATGAAATCTATTATTAACAGTTTTCTCATTTCCTTTGCAAAGTTTTTTAAAAAAAAAAGCAGTTAAAGAAAATATTTATGACTGAAAAAACGTAAATTCATTTCAGGAAACAATGACAAACACTTTTTTTTTTTTTTTTTTTCAGGAAAAGAATGCAGAAGAAAACTCACTGGATAGAAACTGAGTGACCTGGCTCCCGGAAGCCGGAGGACGACCTCTAGATCCCGGAAGAACAGCAAGAAGAACCAGAGTATCCATTGCTTTAATCACATTGCAAACAGACCTTCCAAGGCATAATCATTGATTTCTTTACTTGCATCAACCGCGACGATTATCACCCTCCCTTCCATTATGATCTTTCAGGAATCACATCTCCAGGAACCAAGAAAATTAAACTAAAATTTTCCTGAAGCTCCACCCATTAATATTGTTATAAATTATTGTTCTCATTTGCAACATCAGAATAAATAAATGTGTTTAGAATGGACCAAACCAACACAAAAAACAGGTGAGAAGCCTAGAGGGTGGGGATATTGAAAATGTCTTGAGGGTGATGGGGAGAGTACCACGGCAGAAACAGGGTGAAGCATTTGAAATTTTCTGTTGTCTTTTAGCTTTTGGAGGGACATGAAAATGATTTATAATTGGATATTGGAACTTGCATTCTTCAACTCTCGCACTCAAATATACCTGATCAATATATAATAAGGTGAGAGACTTTTTAGGATTCTGACCTTTTGTATTAAATAGGTTTGTCTAAATCAAAGTTTAGAGTACTTATAAGGTGTATCCATTGTGACCATTTTGAACTAGTCCTCAAATTTTAGTGCTTTAACATTTTAATCCCGTCAATAGGAAATAGAATAATGTTATATATACAAACTATATGTATAAACTAATTAACCACAAAAAAAAAAAAAAAAAAAAATCGAGGTGAATGGATAAATGAAAAATTAAAAACAATATAAAATGAAATATTTTAGTAATTATAGATATAGATAGTTTAAATGTGTAACAATACTTCAGCATATGATATGAAATAATCCATAATTAAGACACGGTGAATTTTTCAGCCATTTCTTAAGGTTTGACCCAATTGTTAGTAGAGCCCTCTATATTTAATTAGTTAGTAGAGAATTCTCCTATCAGTAAAAAAACATTTATATATTTATAATAATATCACAGTATAAAAATAGGTGTGTTATTTCTATAATTGATATATATATAACTTTTTTTTTTTTTTTTCAAATCAGAGGTATCCGGTACAATTGTTAGCCAAGCTCGCCTAATCCTCAGGGTCACGGAGCATCTTACAAACCCAATGAACCAATATAATTGAACTCGAACACAAGCTCTGAGTATAGCTAACCCCAGTAGTTAAGGACTTACCACCAGCCATAACCCATAAGGAGAGAGGTTCTACTACATATTGATGATTTTATTGCTATTTAATTAGATCGACATTAGAAAAGTTAGTGATAAATACAAATGCAACATGCAAATAATTTTATGCAACATGATGCAAGGATAATAGTTTAATATAAATATTATTCAACAGTCTCACTCGTTAAATAGTTGTTATATAATGGATACAACAAATCCAACAATAGGGTAAATCCCAATTATTTTGTGCTGCGGCGAGATAGATACAAAATAGAATATTGCTTTGCAGTGTCTTCAGGATTAAAATCTTACTATGGATCACAAATTCTCAATTTCAAGATAAAAGAATGTTGTTTATGGAGTTGGCTATTGTTAGATTTTACCATATTGCCTCAGTCTGTCAAATGCCAGCTGCGTTGGATTTGGACTCCATTTTACCTATTGAGAGTCGAATAAACACTTGAAATTTCATCTTTAGGTACATTGACTTTCTTAACTGTTATACTTCAATCCAGAATCAACCAGCTCACAAAACTCACAAACACAATCAAATCACACATAAGAACACAAGATTTATCGTGATTCACTTGCTCAAGATTTGAGCAAGCTACGTCCACGTTGAGTTCTGGAAATGAGAGAGTCGTGCACTATTTCAAACGTGTCAAAGAGTACAAATCTACAAGAACTCACGAATCTTTCTCTTAACATGAACTACCCGTTACTTGACCCCTAGAGAGACTCAACCCGGAATCCCTAGATTAAGAGCAATTACACCCTTACCGAATGACTAATCCGTAATCACTCAAGATCCACTCAAGTTACAACTGAAATTTCAGAAAACAATTGCAATCCTAGCAGAGAACAATTGA